CAGTGGTTGAGCGGCGACCTATGAACCAGGAGGTCCTGGTTCCATTCCTGGTCAGGGCACACGACCAGGTTGTGGGCTCCAGCCCCAGTGTGGGGTGTGCAGGAGGCAGCTGATCCATGATTCTCTCTCATCACTGATGCTTCTATCTCTCTCTCCCTCTCCCTTCCTCTCTGAAGTCAATAAAAACATTTTTTAAAAAGGTAGTTGATGGCGAGGATGTGGAGCAATAGGAAGACTCATCACCTGCAGAGGAGCCGCCACCTTGGGAAACGTGGGCATTAGCTCGTCGGGTGGACACGACACGTCCCTTGTGCCCGACTGCTGGGCACAGCTCCTAGGTTCTGGTGAGTCCGGGAAGAATGGGCCCAGTCACCCAAACAGGAGCCTAGGAGCTGCCTTCCTGGGATGACGATCACAATCGTTCAGCTGGGCTCTCACCAGCCTCGGTCCCGGCTTGGTCTTGGCCACCGAGGCACCTGAGCTCCTTAAGGAGAAAACCTCTCAGGAACGGGGGGGTGGGAGCCTGGAGACGCCAGGAGAGCATCCAGTCCCCTTGCACCTCCTGGGCCTGTGATGTTCGCTATCCAAGCGGCAGCAAAAGCCGAGTGTGCGCAGCGGGAGGAAGAGGAGTGGGCTCCGCGCCAGCGAGGGGGGAGGCCAGAGCCCGGCAAGAAGGGAGCTGAAGCGCAGCAGCCCCTCCCGCGATGGGGTGTCGCTCACCAGGAAAGGGCGTCCCTGCCTGCGGGGCCGTGACCTTCCCCCACAGCTCGGAGCAGAGGAGGACCTGCTGCCTCTTCTGTGATCTGCACACGGTGTCTTCTCGTCCCCTCGCTGCCAAAGCCCACCCCAGGCCCGGGCCGCAGACCACACACGGTGCGGGGCGGGACTGTCCCCTCAGGCGGCGGTCGCTCGGCATCTGCCCTGTGGGCCCCCCGAGGTGGCCACGTGGGCGTCAGCAGTGTTCATGTGTGAGCACGTGCTGGTGGGGGGTGCGTGGGACGGGCATCCCCTTCCAAACTTGAACACGGAACGCTGCCGTCTGTCACCACGCAGAGGGCGAGCCCGACCCGACGCCGACTTGTGGGCAAGTGTGACGTTTCTGTGTCCAGAACCAGCGACCGGGGTCAGGAAGGCAGGTCTGGACCGTGGCTGCGCGTAGAAGAGTGAAAACGAAACTCGGGGTCCAGCTCTCCCACGGAAACTGCCCCCAGCGCCAGGGCGTCCGGCTCCAGGGAGGGACCCCCAAGTCAGTCTGTGGTCTAAGAACTTCCCGTGAAGCTGGAGGGAACGGGGAGAGGAGCGGTGACGGAAGGAGGCCGGACTGGGGTGAACGCCGTACAATACACCCACGATGCAGTGCACCCCGAAACCCACACAGCTTTAGTAACCAATGTCACCTCAGTGAATTCAATTAAAAAACAAACTAACGAATGTTCCAGTGACTACGTGCACCACAGCCGCGCCTCTGGCCTAGAGTGGGAACCGGGAGCGGGAGGCCTGGCCGGGGGTCAGCGGCCACAGGCCACGGGGCTCGGAGTCCGATGGCAGCGAGGGGAGGGCGATCCGAGAGAAGCGGTGACCTGGACAGGCACCACGCCGGGTCGTCTTCCGCATGTTTCTCACCAGAACCCATTCGTGTAAAATGCACACGTCTTCCCAAAGACTGCTTTTGCTGTATCTGGCTGCTTCCTTATTTTCACAGCATGTTTTTACTTTGTTCTGTGTTCTTCAATGAATCACAATAAAAGTATGATTTGCTTCTAATAGTATTTAAAAAATGAATCGGGAAAGAGCAAGACGATAGAAGTGTGCTCTTTATTTCTCTTTGGTTTCTTAACACATGCGCTCTATAAATAAAAGGAAGTGAGATTTTCTGGGAAACAGTAAATTGGGGGGCGGGAGGAGGAGAATCTCTCCCTGCTCCCATCTTTGTGGCCACGTCAAAGGCTGGTCTCCAGCTCCCATCTCGGCTTTGATCGCAGATGAAACAGGTGCTTTAAGGGGAAATGCCCAGGACACAGGTCACAGCCCTCTGCTCCGGGCTGGGCGAGACCCAAGGCCCTGAGCACAGCTGTCCGGCCTGGAAACCCCCTTCCACGTCTCCGGGGTGATGAGAAGGCGCCGGCACCAAAGGGCAGACCAGCTGCTGGCAAACATCCCCCTGGGACTGAGGGGCTCAGAGTGTAAAACTGTCGGTGTGTGTGCACCTGTGCTGAGCCGGGTCCAGGCCTGGCTCCCTCTCCTGGGAAGCGCTCTCAGTCAGCAGTGCAATGTCGCCGGGGAGGCGGGAGGGACGCGGGAAGGCCCTACAAGGGCAGCAGGTCTCGGGAAATGAGCCCCCCCAGTGGCAGACTCCGGGCCAGCCTCCTAAGGACGGGCCAGGCCCCCTCCTTGGCCCACTGACCGAGTCTTAGCGCCGGCGCCCTCAGGCTTGTCAGTGCTGCTTCAAGTTCACAGAAGAAGGGGCACCGCACACCGCTCTCCACCAGGAATGCGGACCCGCCTCCCCGCGGCCACCTCAGGGCCAATGCGAGGTGGGGAATGTCAGAGCTGCTCCAGGGCTCAGCTCAGCCCTATTGATTGTTGTCGTTAAAAATCATGTTCAAGTGCTTGTCCCAGAGGCCCAGCGCCCAAGTGGCAGGCACCGGGTATTCCCTCCGGACACCTGGCAACTGCTCACCTGGCGAACCTCGCGGCCTCGGGCAGAAGACGACTCCGGCCCCACACTGCTCCCCGCCAGGCTCCCAGCCTCCGGGGAGACGGGGACCGAGGCCGGTCCTGCACTAAATACTGGCAGCAGGCAGAACACCCGCTCTGGCAGCAGCAGCTGAAGGACGGCCCCCCTGCCCCGCGCCGGTGACCCAGGGGGCCTCCTGTGGGCGATCAGGGAGGAGGGGAGGGAGCACAGTGTCCTCCAGAGCCCTTTGCTCAATCGGGGGAAGGACTATAAAGCTGGTTCTTTGCAGCGGCAGGAGTCCTCCGGCCTTGACTCTTCACTTCGGAAAGCCGGCTCTGCGCGCGAGTCGAGGTCCGTCTGCTGGTCAGGCTGCCGAGGGCGCAGGGAGGCCAGGCCCTGGGCTGCAGTGGGCACAGCAGCAGTGGATGGGCAGGGCGGGCAAGGCCACCAGACCGAGTCCTCGGCTGGCTCCGGAGGCAGGCAGAGCCCCACAAGCTTCACCACGAGCCTGTGGCAAGAACGACAGACGGGCCAGCGAGAGTCTGGCCAGACCGACTGCTTCCTGCTGGTCGAATAGGGAAGGAACGAAAGGCGGGGAGGGGAGGAGAGTGAGCCAGGGTGGCGTGGGCGACCAGAGGGGCACCGGGGACCTCCAGCCACCAGCGGGGCGCTCCCCCTGCAGGAGCTGCGGAAGGTCAGCTGACTCACTAAGCCTGCGAGGAAGAGGCCTCTGACGAGCACCTTGCTGCCGGGCCAGAGGGAAGCCCGGTGCCGTGCGACTCAGGACCGGACCGGAGGTGGGAGCGGTCACCACCTCTACATGGTGGGTGGTTTTCTGTTTAAACATGATTTCCTTTTAGTGTCTCTTTTTTTTAACATTTTCTTCTCGCAAAAAATGTTTACTTAAAAAAAAGGTATTTTTCTTTCCAGTTTCTTTCAAGTGTTTCTTTAAATTTCCTTCAGCTTCTTTCAAGTATCTTTTTTTCCTTCTGTTTCTCCCGAATAAGATGAAAGAGACCTCACTGAGACCCCAACAGCAGACAGGAGAGCTTCTGTGCGCTCTGCTCTCCCAGGAGGAGGACAAGGCCTCTGCCCCGGACGGAAGGAGGCGCCTGGCGCGAGCCCCAGGCCGAGGCGGCAGCGAGAACTCTCCGAGTGTCGTCCTCTCCCAGCCACACCCGCTTCCAAGGCGTGGCCACTGCGGCTGCCCCTGACCAGTCGCTCCGTGGCCGGAGAACAGCAGGCGAGTGTCAGATGGAGCCTCCGGCCAGGCTGGCTTGGAGCTGGGCTTGGACGGGCCTGGGCGTGTGACCACAAGCAGCCGCTGGCACCAGCTGTGAGGCGCTCCCCTGCGCCTGCTGGTCCCCCTCTCCGGCGGGCTGCCCCTGGAAGGAAGTGCCCACGCTGGTACCTGACCCCGACCCCACCACGTCCCACCCTGCGCCTTAGACAGCGAGGACAGGAATGCAGCCCACCCCGACCCCGCCCTCGTGGCACGCCATGGGGGCTGTGAAGGCCCAGCAGTCCGTCTCCGGGTCGTACATCTCCACGGAGCTGAGGTTCGACTGTCCATCATAGCCCCCCACGGCGTAGAGGCGCCCACAGCTGGCCACCAGG